CATCACCACTATCCATCACCTACACAAATACAATTAATTACAAAAAAAAATATAAGATAGTAATAGAAGATATCAAAGTTACCTACTACAATTTCAAAATATTTAGAAATGAATAAACTAAAAAAATAAACAACATCAATAAACAAATCAAATAAATCAAACATAAAAAGCGATTAACAAAAGTATGCAACAATATGTTATGTGTTATAGCTCTGTTAATAACGTCCTTTTCAGAGAGGGTTTTAACAAGTTTTTGCTTAATTTTTTTTATTTTTATTTGGAGGCGTTTCTCGTAACCATTTTATTTTGTTATAGATTCTGGGTACAATGTATTTATTCAAGCGCTGTCCATAATAGTTATTTGCACTAGGCTCTTCAAGTTTTTTTTCCTTACCTTACGCGTGTTGTAGTTGTTAATAATAGGTACTTTATAGTCGTCAGTATAATAAATGTTCAGTTGCCAGTAGTCAGTACAGTAATCATGTAGTAGCGGTGTAAGAATATCCACTGCTCTCTTTCATCCCGTATGTGCCGTAAAAGACAAACAGAAAGACACTGAAATAGGAGGTTAGCAGTACCGTCTAAAAAGCTACGGTTGTCTACCCAGCATAGCGCACAACTATGGTATGTATCCCCCCTATGACGCAAACTATGTGGAAGGTCTGTGTTCAACAGTGGTTTTTAGTAGGCTGTAACAATAACAATAACATTGGGTGTGTTTGGCAGAAAAAAGCGCTAGCAAGCGCTTGTAAGCAAAATGGCGATCGTAAGCGGTAAACGCTGTCAAATCGTAAGTAGCTATTTAAAACTTACCAATCATGAATTTTTAATAACATGTATATGTTTATTCACATTATTATATTACTTAAAACTAATATTGCACAAAACAACTTATAAACTCTACTTCAAAACAAACAAATTAAATAAGCAAATTGGCGGATTGTGTCAGCGCTACTGAATTAGTAATCGTGTCCTGGCCGAAAACTATTACAGCGCTTGTAAGCGCTGCGCTTTTTTCTGCCAAACGCACCCGATTTCTCAAATTTACGCGAACACTACACATTGAATAAAACTGTATATACGGATTTTATCACGTTTAATTAACATACTTCCTAAGGATGATAGCCGTGGTAGCTCAGATGGTTAGCGCTCGCCGTAAATTTCACAGTACGCGAGCAAACTGGGTTCGATCCCCGTCGGCACCAATGAAATTGTTAATTGCAATTTTAAGTGCTGATTTACCACGTGCTCCGCGGTGACGGAAAACATCGTGAGGAAACCTGCATGTCAGAGAAATAAGAAAAAAAAATATATTTCGAAGACATGTGATTGTGAAATTCGCCAACACGCATTGGGGGAGCGCGGCGGACAATTCCTTGCCCTAAAACCCTCTCAGAAATGAGCGGAGGCCTGTGCCCAGCAGTGGGACGTATATAGGCTCTAACTTTACTTTACTTTACTATCAAGGATGATACGCGAGGCTATTGAAATTAAAAAATCGGATTGGGATCTTATAATTAACAAAATTAAATCCAAACCCAATCATACCACTGCTATATATCAAGATACTGTTAGCTCGTTCTGCGTAGATCGGACCAAAAATTAATATTCAAAAACTGAAGGTAACCGGGCTAACTATGACATTGGGACATCAAACATCTCAGTCACCCCCCCCCTCCGTGAACATGGTTGATATAAAGCATCCGAAACGTCGGGAATTAAAAATAAATTAAAATAAGTTAATTAAACACCATAACATCCGTATATATAGTTTTATTTAAGATTATAGAAGATTATAATCTTTTGGAATTCTTATTTCTTATCTTCAAACATTCTCGTTGCACGCGACAGGTGCGTGCGACACTGACAAGCTTTTGTTTTTGACAAAATTTCTTGGTTGCATTGCCAAAAACATCGGAAAATTTTTCTTTCACGCAATCTATTTTAAAACGTCTCTTGTCTGTCTTGTAGATACTCATATAAGATATTTTGCGATTTGCATCCTAATCTTTCGGCACATAATAAATAGTACCTATATGTCTGATTGGTGAAAGTATCGAGGGATGTAGCTTTAACGTAACCTCCGACATACATTTAAAGCGGCTGCCAACCCTAAATATTTCTAAAAAAACATAGTGTCAACCCTCGAACTAAGTGTAACAAATATGAGATATATTCCCCCCCACCCCCTCTCTAATGAGACCTATATCAGACCTATATCATATAAGGTTATCGTCTGGCAGAGTCAAGAGAACGATCTCGAACATTCAAGAGAACGATCTCGTACATCTGCTGTCCAACTGACACTATCTACTACCGGTACCGCCTCGCTCCTTGTTCCTGTTAGCAACTCAATGCATTTTTCAAATTTAAAGATGCATAGAATTTTTTTGTGGTTTTTACCAAAATATTTTCCGTAATCGAGCGCAAAGAAAACACCTACTTCGTACATCCTATCCCCTTCAGAAATCCAGTTTCCACATCTCAGTTTTGCCCGTCAGTTTTGTACCAATCTCCCGGTACACGCTTTACTTCCCAACATTAATTAAAAAAAACTGTACAGCAAGCATTCTACCACTCCGTATGCAGCTTAGCATTTTTAATGAGTACTCGTACGTAGTACTGGTAGCTCAAGGACTTTTTTATTGTTTCCAACATTAGCACATCACAGCCCTCGCTGTAAATTTCACGGAACGCGAGCAACCCGGGTTTGATCTCTACCTGCGTCAATGAAATTGTTAATTGCAATTTTAAGTACTGATTTACCGCTTGCTCGGCGGTGAAGGAAAACATCGTGAGGAAACCTGCAGGTCTGAGAAGTAAGAAAAAAATATTTTAAAGACATGTGAAGTTCGCCAACACCAACCACTTGTAAAATTATATTTATAACCATTCGATGAATAGTAAAATAAATAAGGGCGGAAATGTGAAGTAGTAGCAAATGTAAGAGGCTCGAACTAATTTTCACGGTATGCGAAAGACCTGAGTCCCGAATTCGGTCCCCGCTGGTAATAATAACATTTCTTATTGTACTTTTAGGTGTTGTTTTGCCACGTGTATCGCGGTGACGGAAAACATCGTAAGGAAACTTATATGTCCGAGTAATTATAGATCAAGTCCTTAAGAAAAACCGCGAACACGCCTTAGGGCTGGGTTGCGAACTCTTGCAAACCTGCTAAGAAACGTGAGGAGCCCTGTGCAAACAAATAAGAAGGTGTATATACTTATTTTTATATATATTAATCATCACTTATGGGATCTGTTCCTGGGGGGGGGGGGGGGGGCAGGCAAAACGTACTTATAGATGCTGAAAGAGCTCAACGTGTTGTTCTCAAAGTATTACTTTTTCTTCCGTATAGACATCCCACAACACTGTTGTATGATAAAATGCAGGTACTTAGTGTGAGAAAATTATTTATATACCAATGTATTAGGCGAATCCATAGGTACTCTATACAATATTAACTTGACAGTATAAAACATAATAGAAGAAAAAAAGTAGATAGATACTTAGTTCCTAGAACACATAGTGCTTTTGCCAAAAGATAATTGTTTTTACCTTGCGCCGGTACTATACAATAAATTTAATAAAATTTGTATTACTAAAAGCTACAACAACCATCAAATCAAAAATAAAATTATTAATTGGCTTCAAACTTATGACTATGACGCTACTGAATGTCTATTAAACCTCTAATATGTAAATGTAATTGTAATTTTTTATTGTTCTCATATTATTTGTTATCATACGTATAAATCATTAATAATGCAGGCAATCATACAAATTTCAAAATATAAAATCTTCACAGTAAAACAGTAAAAACACACTCTAACACAACGTACGCACGCGCGCTGGTTCTCTTATGTTAAATATACTTAGTTAAAGGAGGGCGAGGGCCTTCTACCACAAGCATCTTTATACTTAAAAGAAGTCCTCAAACTCGTACTAATTTTAAGAAAATGTTGGAAACAATAAACTTTCATTTCATTTCATTTTTTCTATCAAGTACAGCAAGTTATTTCAAAGCTATTAAGATATTAACAAACATTTTTGAAAATATGTCTGTCTGTCTGTCCGAGCTTGATCTTCGAAATGGCAGAACCGATTCTGATGAAACTTAAAGAACTGATAGAAGAAAATGCCAGGATGGATCTAGGGTATATCTTGTTCAAAAATCTTAAAGATTAAATACAATATATATATATATATATATATATATATATATATATATATATATATATATATATATATATATATATATATAATATATCGCATGCTTAGTGGAACACTGACCAATTAGTAGATATGACAGAATTGAGTTACGTACAGATACAGACTTCTTTTAGCGTGATCTAACGTCTACCGTTTGAATTACATTGACGTTTCGCACTGTTGACGCCCCAGCGATATATGCGTCTCTTTCACTCTTGTCGGAACTGTCATCGTGTTTTCGTCGAAAAACGACTCATGCCAGTTTGTGTCCGACATCTGTGTAGTGAGGCTGTAATTATTTTATTGAACGAAGACCCAATCGTTGTTGAGTGTGTTTACAACTAAATTCAAAGGTAAATTTCATCAAATTGTGTAATCTTATATTGACAAATTATAGTTTAGGTCAGTTTACTACATATTTTATTAATACATTACGTGAAACATTCAGTTTTAAGCCAGTTTATCATTGAACGTTGTTATACTTTTCGAGGCCCATTACGAGTTAAATCAGTTTACCATTAAAAGCTATGCAATATAATAGGTAACACTTTGTAACATTCAAGTTTAAGTCTTTTTATTACTAAAGGTTATTGTTACATAATAGCCGCAATATTAGTTGAGTTTTAAGTTTTTAAAAAATTAAATTTTTTTGAAAAAATTAAATGTGTAATTTTTTCATTGCCCATAAATATTTTATGTTAAGTCATTGTTGTTTTAAATACTGCGTACAATAATTTATTTGTACAAGAGGCATAATATTACTATTTATGTTTTACATAGGTTGATAATGTCATCCAATAGGTCGAAAAAGATGATAGAGCTTGTTCAGGTTCGAAACCCGGCGCCACAACCGGCAACACAAGTTAGAGAACATGAATCGGTGCCATCAACTGAAGTAGAGGTAACAATTTCAAGTAACTTTAAAAATTAGGTTTGTATTAATTTCTTATATATTTTATTACTACTAAATGAACGTTATTTAAACGTACAGGAATATTTTGAAATTTCGGAATCGGCTTCAATCAGCAATGAAAATCACCTTCATAACACTACAGTCGTCCACGATTACACTGATGACATTCAAAATTTGAATATAGCGATGGTGATTTAAGTGATGAAGATCCAACATACAAAGTTCCGTCTAACAAGAAAAGGCAAATACCAGTATATCCAATTCGATCAAAATCATCTGGAAGTTCCTCATCTTCTACGTATTCTTCATCCTCATCATCTTCAGGATCTTCCAGTGATAGTTATGAAGCAGACTCTAGTGATGGTCAGATCAGATGGCAGTCATACAAGACATAATAAATGATCTTTGAGCATCAGGTGCTCAAAGATCATTTATTATGTCTTGTATGACCAATATAGCTCCAAGATATAAATATACAAATGCTCGTAATCCAAGAAATTGTAATCAAGTATTCCATTTCTTAATAGAAGGGCAATCAGTACGAGTTTGTAAAACGTTTTTTATGAAAACTTTGGATATTTCTGATCGTGTTATACGTACTGTCAAGAGCAAAATAGATGAACATGGATTTCTAGCACAAGATCTAAGAGGACAGCACAGCAACCATGTAAGGGTTGATGAACAACTACTAAACGGATATCAAACAATTCATAGACGCAATACCAAGAATTTAATCCCATTATATTAGACAATATTCTACTCGTGAATACTTTGATGGTGGGAAAACAATTTCAGATCTTTTCAGGGACTTTAAAGAAAATCAAATTAGAAATAACAAAGCAGCTGCTAGATATTGCAAATTTTATAAAGTATTTACACAAGATTATAATATTTCACGTCCCAGAAAAGATCAATGTGATTTATGTTTGCAATAAAAGAACTCGACGCCTGAACAAAAAGTATTGCTCAAAGAATCGTACGATGCTCATTTAGAAGAAAAAACATTGAGCCGCCAAGAAAAACACGATGATCGCGGCAAAATAGACGATAACAATAAAATTTTTGTGTTCGATCTGCAAACTGTTCAATCTCCTAGAGGAGATACCTCAGGATTTTATTACAAATCAAAATTAAATAGTTATAATTTCACAATTATTATGTTAAACAAAAAAGTTGACGGCCTAATTAAAAACTCATACGATGATGTACACTGCTTCTTCTGGAACGAAACCGATGGTAAACGCGGGGCCAATGAAATCGGATCTTGTATGCTAAAAGATTTTGAAAAACTCTCAGCGGAGTCACCAAATGACAATGGGTGTAATTTAATTCTTGATTCTGACAACTGTGCCGGGCAAAATAAAAATAAATTTATAGTAGCACTTTACCTTTATGCAGTCACTCATCTAAATATTATATCTATAACTCATAAATTCTTAATAAAAGTTCATACACAAAACGAGGGTGATAATATCCATAGCTTGATACTCGTAGAAAAGGAGATTACAAAAAATCTAAAATCCGGTCCAATATATTGCCCTCACCTATATGTAGCCATAATTAAAACGCAAAGAAGTCTGGCAAGAAATTTTCAGTACTTGACATTTGAATAGTTTTTAGACTTGAAGAAACTGCAAGAAGATTGGGGTTTTAATTTTAATAAAACTAAAGACGGGAGAACTGCTTTATGGAATGACTTAAAGGTGATAAAAGTTAGCAAAGATACACCTTTTTCATTTTTCGTTAAAACCTTGTATAAAGATAGTGAATACCAGGAAGTGATCGTCAGAAATAAAAGGAAAAAAGTGCTTCATCTGTGTGAAATTGTACCAACTAATGTCTACATGAATAAGCAAGAACTAAGTGAGAATAAAAAAAAAGATCTAAGAGAGCTATTATCTAAAAGTTTTTCCCAAATTTTTATTCGGATTTTTACAACTCTATTATTTAAGCCTAAACTTAACATAAATTACTGATTACATACCAACGTTAAATGAAAAAGGAGGTTCCTTAAGTTTAATTATGTTCGCTTTAGAAGTTTATATTTTATAGAAATTTAACTAAAGTTGATTATGACATTGTTTTATTTAATAGGTTGGATCACCAAAGTGGGTTTATTTTTTAAAGTAAATTAAAATTTGTAGTTTTTTTACCTTATTTTTTTTTTAACAATTGAAACAATAATCCAGCTTGATTTTTAATATTTTGATGTATAGAACCTATTTATAAGACTGATAAGTTAAAATTGTTATTTTTATCTGCTATTTGTGAAGTTAGAAATTATTTCCGATTTTTTTTTTACTCAGATCTCATCAACAGTTACAGTTAGTTACAGCGACGATATATATATATATATATATATATATATATATCATTTATAAATAACAATTTTAACTTATCAGTCTTATAAATAGGTTCTATACTCTATTACTTGAATATATATATATATATATATTGTGGCGGCTTGGGATTATTTTTAAATTATATAGTGGACTGTATTGATATTCAATATCCCCTGAAACGTTCAGTTACCGCAGTCACAAAATTACACCAAGAAAACAATAAAACTACTCTCGGTCTTACTAGCCAGCTTCCCAAGATCGGTAAAATTGGTTTTCTCGGTAGAATCACTTGTGATTTACACGGTACACTCTAGAGTAGTCCTTATTTTTTATTTTGAACAGATATTCACTCCACGATAACACAAAGAGATGTAGGCTTCTTACGCTTCCTACCCTCCCTTTTATTCTTTCTTTGTCCCCACAGATTATAGCAGCGCGTTATGCGTCACAATGTTGCCACAGGTTATCACCGGTCCTCAGATCGTTGTAGATCATTGTGTCTCGGTATAAAATTTGCGAGCTGCGGTTTATTACTAAACACACCCCCCACCGAAACCATCTTGATGGTTTCTCCAAAAGATAAGATAAAATTATAACTTAATCTAACTTAATCTCTATCAAGATAACGCTGAGACACAGAATCGTCTCAACGAGAAGGTTATTAATACAAGTAAGCTAATTTGCATAAGGGAGAGGACTCAGTTTATTAACTGGTCTCTGTAAAATACCCTTTTGGGTACGAAGCGTAATACAACGAACAATCCCATCTGGTGCGTGGTGAAGAGCCTCTATTCTACCCAAAGGCCAATTGCACGGCGGTATCTTATCAGTTTTTATCATTACAAGATCACCTATTTTAATGTTAGACCTATCTGAATACCACTTTGCTTTCTGTTGCAGCGTATTTAAATTTGTGTAAGTGCGACAAGGACGTAAGACTAATGTCACATTTTTCTACTAACTATACTCTCTGTCAAGTGTCAAATCGCATGACATACAAATTTTTATGCATTCCGCAGTTGGTTGCTCTTCTTGCGTGAATGTGTGCTCTCCAGTGTATTATTGTAGCTTTTATTGACGACTGTTTTCCCTTTTTTGGATACCGATTGCTTGACTACACGACGACTTATCTACTTTTCTACCCCGGACACCGATTTTGTGGCGGAAGCGAGAGTAACCTGACTTTATAGATAATCCGACCGAATCAGAAATTAATCAGCACGCCCCGACTCCACGTAGTCTTGTCTGCCCTATTCTTAGAGTGTTATTGTAAAGCCGTAGGCGCGGAGGAAGAGCAGCCCCCGCCTGCCGTAGCAAATCGCAGGCACCTGTGCGAGTCGTAGCGGCTGTAGCTGGTCGCCGAAGGCTCACCTCCGCAGCCTCAGCTTATTGGTCGCCTTTGGCGACCAGCCTCAGCCACTACGGCTTACACAGGTGTCTGTGATTGACTACGCAAGGGCGAAGGAGCTGCACTTCCCGCAGCGCCGAAGCCGTTGTAGAAGTAATGTTAGGTCAATATTTTTGTTCAAAAAAGTGAGGTTATGATTTTACAAAAAAAAAACATTACTCATAAACTATACATTTCCGCAAGGAGGGAAGGGTAAAGGGGCTTTTCCTGATAGGGCACACTCCTTCTCCCCTCTTCCCCCGGTAGGAACCGGAGACGATAAATGTTCATCATTTTATGGTTAGGTCTATCAGATTTTCTTTTTGATGTTTCTGAAGAACGGTGTATTACCTTTTAAAGGAAGTAGTGTCGGGGGTAATGGTACGCTCACCCTCCTCCCCCCAACCCCTGCCCCCCCTCCTGCCAAACGATTCTAAATTTCTGTAGTTTGAGTAGTGGCTACAAGAACTGAAAATTAAATGTACCGCAACTCTGTTTTATCTCACGATAAGCTATAATAATACGTACCTACTCATTATAATTACATCGTAATCAGCATCTAATTGGAGTTCAGGAATTCGAATAATTCCTTGTAACTTTTTGTTAGAATTTTGTAATGAACAATTATTAAGTCGAATGAATATTTTGCGGAAAAATATAAAATTCTACCTGGGAACAGATTAAAATCAACTTATTTTGTTAATTAGGCTCGAATATCATTAACCCTCTAGTGTCACTTTTACGGGAGGATAGTAGGAAAGTTTAGAATCAAATCATTTTTATTCAATATATAACAAGAATATTTATTGGAAGTTATTCCCATTAGTTTGGAAAAACCGGAAGAACCAGCAATAAAACCCAGCCGGACTATTTTTGTAAACATTAACTTACAGTATAATAGTACGTGAGGGTAATATGGTCATCCGGTTAACATGGTCACTTTCCTATTACGTAAAAACTACAACCTTGTTTATATAGACGGCCATATGATACGATAGTTCTTCATCAGTCAATTAAATAATAAAGTCAAAAGGATGCAGCTCTATCGACGTCATTTTGGCAGTTGAAATTATATAGTAAATAAATATCTTAGTCGATGTTAGTTATCGTAGTTAGTATTTTTAAGTTGATTTTTCGAAGTGTTCTTAATTATTGTCAAGGCTTATTTGCTATTGTTTTCTTAATATATTAGTTACAGTATACGACTTTTTGTTTTTGCCTACGTTCTCCTTTAAGGTTTTTAAGCTATTGCATAGCTTCTATCGCGGGCCTTGAGTGCGGGAAAATCCAGAAATTTCGTAACGAAAAAACCTCACGCTCTCCGACGGGCACGGAGGTGTGGCTTGAAGGCCGTGCATTGTCTAACGATGGTCTAACGTCGTTTCTTTTCCTCAGTCTTCGACACGGTGTTTGTGTATAAAGTGTTTTGAAATTTTGAATATGAATGAACAAAGTGCAATTATTATTAA